TGAGGCTTTGCTGATCTCTACCCCCTTAAATTGTGTTCCTTGGGAGATTATTTTGCCATTCTGCACCATGTGATGATGGGTTGGAAATGAACCCAGGTTTCCCTCACCCCTCAGAGATGGTCCTCTTCATAGTCCCAATAACAGAGGTACAGATCGTTTTAACACTCAGGTACCACAGGTGATGTGGAAATGGATCAACATAGAGTGAAAGTCAGCAATAAATGTTAAGAAACTTGAACAGTCGATTGAAATGATGTAGAAAGTTGGATGGGATACTGAGAAAGCATGTGTTTTGTCCTTGGACAGAGTGGACTTACTATTCTTCCTCCCCAGCAGTTTTAGATCTAAGTTGATCACTCTGAGTTTGTTTGTTTTTTGAGACACTTCTGCCTTGACATTAAGGGTAATACAGAGAAGTCTCGCATTCTCAATTATTCAGGAGATCTGATGAAGGCATCACTGTGTTACCTCTGGCTTTATAACTTGTTAAGTAGCAGCAAACCAGCTGGCATTAAAGGCCATAATGAAACCTCTAAAACAGAGGAGGGAAGAGATATTATTTTCAATTTTTGAAAGAGGTGTTAAAAAATCAAATTATTTATGCCTCTGCTCTCTAAGCTGCTTTAAAGCTCCAGTTTTAAAATCACTTGGTTATTTTTATATATAGGTGTAAACAATTGCTTCCTGCTCTTTGATTCAGAAGCTTAAAAATAGAGCAGTGTTTAAGACTTAGAATAATTTGGGGATCCTGATTTTAACTTTTTTTTCTTTATATTTCTTAATGCACCATCTCTCTCTTATTTGTACTGCTTAGGAACATCTTTTGTATATGTGCGTAAGAAATATTTGTGTCTTAAAGGAAGAGTTTACTGCTTATAAGCCTTGTAATTGAACACAGATTTATATTTATATATGTACCTGTTAAAATACATATGTATATGTTAAAAGCCTAAGCTGCCCACAGAACTGGGGTTTATATACATGATTACTGACCGTTTGAACAACAGATATTTATCTGATAAACAGAGTTGCTTGTATACTCAGTGTTGTAGTTCGATTTCCTTTAGAAGTTACTTTATTATTGGAAAAGCCAAAGTATAATCTGTTTTAGTTGTTTTTCAAAAGTTTAATCTTTGCAAAAAATTCAAAATGAAATCTCCCTAAACTGTTGGAAAATCTGTGAGGATTTGAGAATCATTTTCATGAAGACATGACTTCAATCAAGAAAAGCCCAGACACGTCAGATTCATTTTTAGGAAATGTTCCTAATGTGCGCCGTAAATATTGGATCTAACAATCACAAAGAGGAGAATAGTTGTGACCATAAGCAAAATGAAAAATGAGACCGGCTTTGTAAATGAAGCAAAAGGGTAAGTTCTGGGAGGAAATGAAACCTCAAGTGCTGCGCATGGTGTGGATGCACAGGCAGTGGTCACACGAACTTTTCTTGTAGTAGGAAGTATTGTGGCTTTAGATACATTACTCCTGGTAATGTAGCAAAAGACAGGTAAAACAATAGTATTTGGGGGATAGACGGCAGCTTTTTAACCCTGGAAAAATGTTGCACTAGTTTCTGGTCCCCACCCTCCCCATCCATTTTGGAATTAAAGACCCCATGTGCTGCTATAGCAAGATGAAACAGGGGATTTGGAGAAAAAATTCAAGGTAAATGCCTCTCTAGACATCAGAATTGGTGTCTGTGGAACAACCTCTGCAGAAGCTCTGTGTGATGGTTCTTATGGATACCCTTGTGGGTTATTAAAGGGTGCCTGAATTTAGATTCTTGTAACCATGCTGCAGATGTTAACTCAACTACCTGTCTTTACCTTTTAGCTATGAAATAAAATATGCTCTTTGTTAAAAGAGAAGATGTTACATTTTTAGATGTTTGTTTATAAAGTTAGCAGCTATGTTATATAGAGTTTCTTTTAATTAAATATTTTTCTTTCATGTCTAGAGGTCTGGACAGGACAATAGATAAAAAGAATGGATGAAAAGTAGTGTTTCCTATACAGCAAAACTGTTGGAATGGGAAACCTCTGAGTAGGAACAGACAACATTTCCTCTGATTTATTTTTATTATTTTTATTTTATTTAATTTATTTTATTATTTTTATCTCTGACAAACAATAACATAGTTTTATTCGTAACAGTGCTGTGCTCTCTGGCTTGCTCTTTGCTTACCATATTCTCTTTTCCTTTATGTCTCAACAAAACTTCCTTGATGCTTCTTGTGATACAGCAACAGAGCTATGCAAATAAACATTTTACACTGGCTGAAATATTTTATTTATGCATGAATGAACTTCCCCCCTTCAGATTTTCCTTATGACTGCTGTATAAACTAAGAAAGAAATATTTTGTGTTTCAAAGCTTCTGTATGGGTAATTTGCTAAGGTGGAATGTTTGTGAAGTTAACTTTGGTAATGATATAGCATTTTATATTTTAAAATCCATTACAATGCATGTTGATTGAAACTCTCCTGTCAGTGCCTGCTCTTTATACTGGCCGTATGAATATTTGCTTTGATACCACTCTCAAAATCCTGGTAAAGACCTGGATCAGATTTCAGTAAAAATGTGTAATAATATGCTGGAAATAAATATGTCTGGCATTGTAGATGAACTGAGCAGTCACTGAGCTGAAGCTTTTGAAACCAAACCAGTTACATTTGCTTTGAGCATAGGACTGATCTTACAGAATTTTATATGTGCAGTCCAGAACCCAGTGCACACAGCTTTGCAGAGGTTTAGCACAATCAGAAATAGAAGATTTTGTGCCCTTTGAAGAGTTCAAAAATCAAAAGAACATGTGCTCGTTGATCTGGTTTCTGCTGTTCAAAAACTATTTTTCAACTTTGTTTATGCTTTGTCTCCATTGTCTGCCTATATTTAGACATAACATAAGGTTGGAAAATTAAATATTAAATTATATATCATACACTTAACTATAATATTAAGTGCTAAACATTTATTTTATGTTGTTGCATATTTTCCATATGTTTCTTTTTCAAGATTTAAGAGATTTGTTTCATAAAGAGGTTAAAAATCTCAGGAAGTGTCTGTGTTAGCATTTTAGTTAGATCGGGATCGAACTCCTGAAGCAGTTGCTCCCACTTGCTAGGCTGTAGCTCATGTTGTGAATCAGAGTTGGAGTGCAAGGACGGGACTGCTTTAGGAAGTTGCATTGTGGGGCTTACCTTGACATAAACTCTTGCTATGGTCTTGCTCCTACTGAATGTTCAGTCCTTGGGGCTGTACTGGAGTGAACGGGACAGTAAGCCCCCCTGAAGCAGGTATGGGCTTCAGCACCAACTGTTGGCGCAATTTGCTAATGTAGACCTAGCTAAGTCCTGTGAGGACCAGGGGCTTTCACCTCCATGAGGAAATAAACAAAAACAAGTGGTTCTTCATGAGGCTCAGGATGTTCTCTTTGTTTGGTGCCATCGCATACTGTATTTGTGTGATTTCACACAACATTGAGTAGACTTCTGTGGGATTACAGAGCACATGCTTATTGGCACTGATCTGTTGTTACTGTCTTGAACAAATGCTGACCTTGAGTTTACCAGCACAACCTCACAGCAGGCTTAAGTTACAGCTGTTCACGTGCCTTAATCTGCAGAAAAAAATGAGTAAATATGCTTTTCTCTGAGTTTGCACTGGCACTAGACAAGCTGCAGTCTCTAAAGATATCTTCAGTTTTCTTACACCAATAGGGAAAGGGATTTTTGGCTGACAATTTAGATCAAATTACCTTATGTCCTCCACTTTAGCTGTTTGTTCTGTAGAAGCAGAACTATTCAAGAGCAAAAAGGTTAGCAGTTAGGTGGCTGAGTACCTGATCTTGCAGATACAGCAGGTAATTAAACACTGGGCTTCCTGATGTCTAGAGTGAATGTACAAACACCAGCCTGCCCGTGGGTGTACAGAAATTTCCTATGAACCATTAACTACAGAACAAGAGTCATCTATATATCCACAATTGTAAATAAATAAATAAAATTAAAAAAAAAAATCCTTCTCAGTATTTCAGTACAACTAGTATGTAACCCATATAGAGCTGAGAATTTGGAAAAATCTCCCAATGGGTGTTTTCAGAAACTAAAATTAAGCATTAAAGATGTTTGCTTCTAAGGGCTGAAGGTGCCCCACAGTGCCTTCAGACAAGTATGAGAACACTTAAATGTTGACACACGAGGAAACTATTCTCTGCCTCTGTGGGATGATGATGCCTAGTCAGTGCCCATTGATTTTCTGTATGATTCCTTTTCTTTTTATTTCAAGAGAAGATGAGAAGGGGAGCAATGAGTTCTCATGCTGTTTTTAAACCAGTATCACAGTTCGCTGCATCAGTACAGAAATCTTATGGACACCCAAGATCTGTTGGCAATAGGTGACAGATAATTTGCAGAAATTAGGAGAGAAGGTACCCTCCTCTCATGTTTAAGAGAAAACATTCAGCCCATGGATAGGATAGTGCATCTGCTTCCTCAGTAGCAGAATGGGAGATTAAATGAAAGCAATGTGGGAAATTTAGACCTGCCATGTGGAGCATTTATGGCCTTGGTTTATTGTTATAGTCAGTTAGGATTATGGTTATTATCAGTATTGTTACAAAAGGCTAATTTTCCTACTTGCAGAATAGGGTGTATAAGGCACCATCATATTGAAACAGTTGTGTCTTCAACTGGATGCCTCTACCACTTTAACTGTTTACTATGATGACCTTTTTGATCCTAGAGATGAAGGTAAAAGTGAGATGTACTGTAGAGCGTTACAATCTGTTTTAGCTTCTCCAACTCTGTTTTAGTCAGTGATGGTTTACTTGACCCCATATATGCACTGAGCTCTTATTTTAGGTTTTACATTGTTCTTCAAAGAACTGGCTTTAAAGATTAATTAGGGCAGGGGGGGAGTGAGAGTGTGTGCCTGCAAGGGAAAATGTGACTGTGAACTTAGCATTAGAGCACTGACCTGAAAGGAGGGAGAGAGGAAGGAAGGAGAGGTTTGAAAAGCATTCATAGTGGATTCTTTGAAGAGTAAGTATAATTACTCCCCTCTGAGGGAGGAATACAGAGATAATGTATATATGCTTGCTGAAGTACTATGTAATTACATCATGGGATTAGCAGTCAGGTTCCAGTCATGTAGATGCTAACAGCTGTATCTCATCAGATTTAGCATGACTACACATCCTGAGAGAAGAATTATCTTTCTAAAATTTATTGAAGAAGAAATACTCGTGTGGTGATTTGCCGTCACTAATACACACATTGGCTGTTTTAGACTGCTGTAACAGGCCTCTTTGAACAAGGAGATTGGTCACAGTAGCAGCATTATCTGCCATGGAGCTGGGACTGCACAAGTCATCAGCCTCACATGAGACAGGGATGTGAATCAAATGGAGGTCCCTGCTAGACTGGCATACGCAAAATGAAGTGGGGAGATACAGGCATTGCTAACTCCAGCTGCAGTTCTCATCAGTTGGACTGGAATTTATTTTCTACATCCTCCAAAGCAGCCTTTTCTCTGAAACATACAGAAATAAGTTGTCGCTACAGTAATTATAATCTTTTTATATCAATTCTGAAGCTCACAGAAGTATCAGAAAGACGCAAGGGGTTTTGGTGGTGGAGGGCAGATTAGGGAGAAAAGATGATAAATCTGAAAATGTTGAAATGGTAAATAACTATTTTGAAATATTTACTTCATCTGTGGATTGAGACAATAAGTCATTTCTTTCATTTGCAGCAGAAAAGAGCTTTCAGCATGTGTTCCTAACCTTCAGTTGTTCTCCCTGTGAACTATTGTGTATGGAAAGGAAGCACATTTTTGATGCGTAGCCCAGATGATTGCATGGGAAACAGTTTGGTATATGGCATAATGTTTTTGTTTAATACCTTTTTTATTCCAACAGGAAATATGGGATGTATAAAATCAAAAAGGAAAGAGAATCTGCATGGAGATGGTCTAGATTTGAAGAATCAACCAGTACGTAAAACTGAACGAACTATTTATGTGAGGGATCCAACGTCCAATAAACAGCAAAGGCCAGTAAGTAGATAGTCTCAGGGGAGAATTCCAGTAGCAAGATCAAAACATGACTGGCATAACTTAAATTTCAATCCAAAGCACATGCGTGAAGAAATTCAAATTATCATTAGTCCACAATTGGGCTTTTAATGTGCAGTTCACCCTCAACGAATAAGTACTTAAAGAAATAAAACGTGGCAGTTTGTTACTTAATTACTTTATGTTTGTCGTAGTTTTCTGCAAGAAAACTAATTCTTTACAATGCTGGATCTAGATATACCTATGTCTGTAGAAGAATGCTGGGTGACTAGAAAATGTGAAGCAGTTTAGAACTGTTTTTAATAGCTATAGGGTCCAGGTGTTGATTATGTAATTTAAAAACGAATCACGAGCCATTCTTTACCAGCTCTAGTCAGCTTTCCTTTTACCCACTGAAGACCTCTACTCAACCTTGCATGAGGCGCATAGGTGGGGAGAGGAGGGTGCAGTGGCAAAGGGAGCAGGGCTGTACTGCAGGAGGAACAGGCTAATGGCAGGTCCACATGTGCTGCCTGGCATTAGAAAGGAAGGTGCTGGGAAGGGAGTCCTGTTGGGTACCAAATGGGTTTGCTGTTTTGCAGATTGACTGGTACGTTTTCTCCCTTTGCTCTCTACCATGCTGAGGAAACCATATTTCCTGGCTGCCTTTACTGAAGGGCCATGCTCTCTGCGGGTGTGATTGACACGCTTCTCTCCCCTCTCACTAGCTGACTCGGTGTGCTCTCAGTCAATATACAAACATCACAAACTACCATTTGGTGATTTTTTTTAATTACTCTTTTTTTTTTTCTTGCACATTCTTAGCAACATAAGCACGCTTGTCGTTCTTTAGCGTGACAGCTACATGTTAGTAACTGTCCTGTTAAAGAGCCCTGCTTAAAGCCTCTTCAGCAGAAGTCACAAAGCTGTGAACTTCCTCCCTACAGCTTGTGTCACACCTTCCTGAGGTCTGAGCCACTCAATTCTAGTGGGGACTTACTCTATTTTTATGTTGTAATTAATTTTTGAAGAATGGTGTAAAAAGACTGGAGCATTTCCTTTTAAGATACATAAGATGATACCAAAGCAACTGAATAATATGTAATTGTACTGCAAGATTGTAACAAAGATCTCAAAACTGCCTAATTAAAGACATATTTTATTGTAGGCAAATCCAGAAGCACAGCTCTTACCAGGACAGAGGTTTGTCAGTGAAGGTACGTTTTCATAGGAAACTTACTGCTGTGTGCTATGCCCATGTCAGTCTGCAAAATAATGTAAATGTGCCTTTGGTTTTCTACCTTTGCAGAAACAGAGGAGCATGGAGTCATTGTGGTAGCTTTGTATCCCTATGATGGCATTCATGAAGATGACTTGTCCTTCAAAAAAGGAGAAAAATTGAAAGTTATTGAGGAGTAAGTATGACAGTACTGATTGTATCTTAGTTTTTCTTTGGACTCATCTAATGCCCTTTATAATTTTTTGATATCCTACTCATAACATGAATGTATTAATGTTAAGAGAGCTTCTTTATATATGAAAATACAAATGTGCCCTTGTTTAACGGTGACCAAACATTGCTTCAGCAGAGCCTATGGCTTCTCAGGGGGCTCGAGTTCAGAGAAAGATGATGCTTCTCTCTCCAGCGTGGGCAAAGCTCTCAGCACAGTAGAACACAAACAACACTCATTTTCCTTTCCTGTGAATACTACTGTTGTTTCTGTTTTTCAGGCTGGGAGAATGGTGGAGAGCAAAATCACTCACAACAAGGAAGGAAGGCTTTATTCCCAGCAACTATGTAGCAAAAGTAGACACCCTGGAAACAGAAGAGTAAGTTCTCCCAGGCTCTAAATACTGGCAAGCTTCTTCTTCACCCTGGTGGTGTATCCTCTGTGGGTGGGGATAGAAATGGTTCTAACTCTTTGAAATACTTTTCAGATGGTTCTTCAAAGACATAACCAGAAAAGATGCCGAAAGACAACTCCTGGCTCCTGGAAATAGTCCTGGAGCTTTCCTTATCAGAGAAAGTGAAACATTAAAAGGTAGGCTTTGGGGTGGTTTACTTTGGAATTGATAGTAGAGTTAAAAACATACAGTCTGCCTTCACAAAAATTGGCATCAGGTGGCACTGGGTGTCGAGTAGTCCCAGTGTGTCCTATTGTGTGAATTTTCTGCAGTTCTGTAGGAGTGAGAAGGATGAGAAAATCACCAGGAAAAGAGAGAAGAGACTTACAGGTTAACACCCAAAGTTGAGATAGGGGAAAAAAAAGTGTGTCCGTGTGATTACACTGACAAGAAGCATGAATGAATGAAGTGACAGGTCTTTTCCTAAAATTTGTGATTCCTTTTATTGAAGGACACTTTTCACTGTAAATAGTAGTATTTGCTGCATTTTACAGTCTTCTATTATTCGATCTGTATCCATTGCTACAAGTCTTAAAATGTAGTTAGTGCATAATGAGGGTTCACACTTCTGCACTGGAGTGTGATTTTTTTCAAAAAAGCTTTTTGGTAGAGGTTTGTGCTGGAGACAGAGTCCTTTGCACTGAAAAGCTTAGTGAGATCTCCAGACTCTTTGGCTGTGACGTTGAGAAGGTTGTGCCCCAGTGTCTGGACTCTGAGAACAGCCTGACTGAACACTCCAACTGGATACTCTTAACACTGGATCCTCCAGAGGAAGATGTATGAATCCCTTCAGCAGACCATATGTCTGTCCTCCCCACTGGGTAGTTTTTCTGGACCTAACAGTGCAGATTCTTGATTGGCTAGTTTTCTGTAATGGCCCTGTATCATTGTTTCTGTGCTCTCAAATGAAGACTCCTAAATTGAACATAAGATGCTGAGAGTAAGACTAGGTAGCATCAAAATGTTTCTTTCTACCTTCTGTCACTGCATGTGTGTGGGGGGAGAGAGAAGGGAGTGAGGTGGTTTCTTATCCTTTGAAAATAGATGAGAATTGTATGAGTAGAAGAAATTAAGAGCTCTGTAGTTAAGGGTAGATGCTCTGCTGCCCTATCTTAAATCCCAGTTGAGGTTAGGCTCCCTTGGACTAACAGATCTGCTCTCCCTCCTGTAAGCCTCAAGCCATCTCCAAAAGATCCTTTTGCTGGTTGGCCCATGACGTCCAGTGTTCCTTTTCCGAAATACCGATCACCAAATTTCACCCCTGGCCTTGCTTTCCCAGCCGGCTCCACTCAAGCTGGGGGTACTTTCTGCAGAAGTGGGTGTTGCACATCTTGTTGAGAGAATTATGGAACTCTTGAGTTTGTTGAATAAGATTGAAAAAGAAAGTGTGACTGTAAGCATTTTAGTGACAAGTTCAGGACCGGCTATTGGCTAACTTCCTCCTGCTGATTGCAAAATGCTTTTTGAGGAAATAAGGGAGTAAAAAGAAAAACAGATAAAAGGTGATTTAGGCTCAACTGTATATGCATGGACACTGCTGACTTTTGCTATCTGTTAATGACCCTTCTTTCTTTATCCACAGGGAGCTATTCTCTCTCCATAAGAGACTATGATCCACAGCATGGTGATGTTATTAAGCACTACAAAATTAGGAGTCTAGACAATGGAGGATTTTACATCTCTCCAAGAATAACTTTTCCCAACATCAATGATATGATCAAACATTATCAAAGTAAGTTAAATCGGTTAGTGGATTACTTGATAGAATACAGCCATTATTTTCTGTGAAGGAAAATAAAGGCTTTCTTGTTTTGTTTCAAACCTTTTAATCTTTTTTTTTATTTGTTTCCTAAATAACCCAGGCATGCATGTTATCAAAGACAAGGTAAAACTGGTTGGAACCCAAGTAACCTTATCATAATCAGACCTAATTCGGCTTGCTCTGTGGCATACCACTGTGAAATAAAGAATAACTTTATAAAACACCTCATCAGAGTTATGATGATGTGAAACTACAGTAAGAATAGACTGCATTGTAAATAAATAAATTCTGTATTTGAAAGTAAATTTTTATTCACAGTTAGCAGAAATACATATAGACTTGTGAATGTCTTCTTGCAATGTTGAGTGTGGAATTGTTTTTATTTTTCTCATAAAATTATTTATTTACTGCGAAAGGCATTTTGAAGGAAGTAGAAGTCCATTGACTTCAAAGAAAGGAGATCCCACCCACACAGAATGTATACATTTATTATTTTAAAAAGGGGGATGGAGACGAAGGGAAAAGTTTCTACCTATGTTTTAGCTACAAGAGTGACTTTTCATTGTGCATAACCTCCTGGTGAACAGCTCCAAAATATATTTTTAAGTCTCAGAACTGGGAAGACAAAGATGAAGAATGTAGGACAGAAAATCACACAGTGATTTTTGAAAGCCACACTGAAGACTTGGTCATGAAATTTCTCTGAGTTGTTAGACTTGTGTGGTAATTCTTTGGCACAGCTGGAAATCCTGAGAATACATTTGTATTAAAGTTGTAGCTGGTCAGTGTCTGGAGAAAAAAAATGGTGACCTACTTATGCTTGCATGCACATGTGTCTGAAGCAATGTTTCAAGAAAATTTAATGACAAACTTAGAATACAGGTCCCAAGCCTGACTCTAGTGTGCATCTTCATCAACATGTTGTCAGTAAACAGATCTTATATTTTATTTAGTTGATATGAATTGTACTAAAAGAATCTTAATAAGCTGATAGTAACCAGATGCATGTGACACTTCCATTTTAAATTTGTTTCTGAATACCGAATATCAGTTCAGAGGTGCTTAAAGTTACGTAAAAGCACCAAAAAGCTTACCTTTTCATCAAAACACCTGATTATTTTGAAAATTACTTTAGGCTGGTTAGTGCACACCTGTAATTAAGTAACGTTTGTCTCAAGTCCCGAGACACAGAAGTGTAACATATTTTGCTTTTCCTTTGAAAACCAGAGCAATCAGATGGCTTATGCAGAAAGTTGGAAAAAGCTTGTATTAGTCCCAAGCCTCAAAAACCATGGGATAAAGATGCATGGGAAATCCCACGGGAATCAATTAAATTAGTGAAGAAACTTGGAGCTGGTCAATTTGGAGAAGTCTGGATGGGTAAGTTTATTCCTTTGGAAGGAGTTTTTAAATCTCTTCAAAGAAGTGTAATTTCAGAGTCATTCAAAAATAATAGTTGGCATGAACCTGGTCTGATATACTTGTAAAACAGCACAGTCAGGCCCAGAATATACCTTCTCTTGAGGCAAGAGGATTTGCAAGGGGAAAGATATCTGATAGAACAAATCCTTTGGTGTCTTTTAAAGGAGAGAAAACAAAAAACAAAACAAAAAAAAGTGGGTAAGCACTGTAATTTAGAGGGTTGAGGACAACAGGGGTTTTTCTGGTTGTGTTTTGTGGGGGAAGTAGAAGGTTATAGTAAGATGTAACTCCTGATTCTCAAAATCAGTGGGTGTCTCAGGACTTTTATTCAAATCAGAAAGTGGTAAAGAACCTGAAACTGAAAGAAATCATGTCTTTTAGTGAATTATGTACAGAGTTTTCATTGTCTCCTGGTAAAGAAGAGGCTGCAATATAACGCATGGGACTGATGTACTGAGTGAAAAACGGGGACAATTAATCCAAGATTATTGCCTCCCAGATTGCTGCTAAGTAGGTGATTTATGTAGTAAGATTAGAGATTCATCATCCCCCACCTTGAACTGTCATGTAGGTCCCCAGTAACGAAAGTGCATAAGACTTAAAAATTGTAAATGTTAATATATACCCAGCAGAAAATTAGTGTTAATTACTATAACTATAATTAGCTTTGCTTATAAACAGTCTTATTTTCTTAGCCTCAGTGACTTCCTGTGGCAAGGAGCTATGACCAGTATCTAATCACATTCTGTAAAAATTATTTAATCCTCTCGTTTTTGAAATGCTGCCTATTCAGGCATCTGAGTATTCTTTTGGGTTCCATATTGCATGTTCTGTGTACTATTCATTACTTACACACTTGTTACCAGCTACCATCTTACTTGAGATCCAGTATACTTTCCTTCCGAAGTCTTCATTAGGATTTTTTTTCAGGCCAAATCATTCTCTTAGCCCTTTTCTGAATTGTGGTTTTGGATGTTATATTTCAATAGTAATCAAATTGTTATTAAAATAATAATATATTATTATTATCATTATTATTACTACTATTGTTATCATTATTATTATTAAGCAAGCCATTTCTGAGTAACTTAAAAGAGTATCCCAAAACTTACTAGAAGATACAAAGCTATGAAGGGGGCTCTGATGACCCACAGGAGTGTGGCAGTCTGACAGGAATGTCATTGCTTTGAAGAGATGCTCTCATTTAGAAAAGTAAAGCACAGAATGGTGGTGTTTGAGTGTCAACTCCAGACACAACTACAGTGGCAATCAGAAAGCTCTAATTCAGGCATAGGTGCAATCTTTCGATATAAATCATGTAAAAAATGCAATCAGCTCATCTCAATAATATAATATAACCAAATTCAGCCGTTAATCTACCTTCACAAGAAAAGGCATAAGGAACCCTCTAGCTACGATATACGTGAGTGACAATTTACATAGTAGCTAAGACAAGTGTCAGCCATTGTGCAGTTTTTTCTGTCTAATGAACCATGGCAAGAAATGTTTATCTGACACTGAAATGCTGTGAAAGATTTTGTGGCAGAAGGTAATCACCTGCTTGAAAAGGTAGATCATTTTGGGAACTGATTACTTTTGCACACACACATACAAAGGCATAAAGCTTGAAAGGGTGTTTCTGGTTCAAGATGTTTCATCTTGTGTCATTATTTTGGCATCTAAATTGGGCCTAACCTCTGCATCTGAATTGCTGCACTGTGAGAAAAATTAATGTACTGTGAAAGCGATCGCTGTGTTTCCTCTTCTCTGCTTGCTTTCTTTCTGAAGCGAGAGAAGCTGATTTGCATGGCGCAGGTTCTCTCAAATCGGGAGCGTGGTTGGTCTTAGAACCAAGGAAGTTCAACCTGGAAAAGATGTGTCAGGTCAGCTGTGCCGTGCAGGGTATCAACAAACACTGTCGATTGTAATGATCAACCAGGGGCATCAAGAGTTAATGTGGAGGTACTGAGAGCAACCTAGATGTTACATTTCCTCCTCATATGGAACAAAATTATTTTTCAGTCATAGTGTGAATTAGAGAGAAATATTGTTCCATGGTTTAATTACTGAATAAATTTCTTCTTGATAAAAGGTACTTAAAATTGTGGTTTCAGAGGAAATAGTGTCCCATTCAGAGGAACTGGGCTCCCCAGTAAAAAGAGATGCAGAGCTACTGGAGAGAGTCCATCAAAGGGCCACAAAGATGATGAAGGGACTGGAGTATCTCCTCCTGTGAGAAAAGGCTGATGGAGCTGAGACTGTTCAGCCTGGAGAAGAAAAGGCTCAGGGGAACTCATCGATGTATGTAAATACCTGAAGGGAGAGTGCAGAGGACAGAACCAGGCTCCTTTCAATGGTGCCCAGTGACAGGACCAGGTTCCCTCTGAACATCAGGAAACACTTTTTCACTGGGTGAGTGACCAAGCACTGGCACTGGTTGCACAGAGGTTTTGTGGGGTCTCCATCCCTGTAGATAGTCAGAAGCTAACTGGACACAGTCCTAGACAAGTGGCTCTAGTTTTGTTTAGTTGCTTGATCAGGGGAGTTGGACCAGATGCCCTTTGGAGGTCCCTTCCAACCTCAACCATTCTGTGATTCTGTGATACATGGGAAGGTAAAGATAATGCTATTACTGCAATGTGAAGATTCACCAGCTTATCTTTTATAGGCTTTTCTTTTTAGTTTGTCCAAAAGTATTCTTTGGGCTTCCAAGTTGACATCTTCCTCTTGCACATTTTGGAGAGAATTAGGTTATGTTATGGGAGGACAAAGAAAACCCTGGGAACAAAAAGCAGACCCACAAATCCCTCAGGCACTCAGCTATGCTCCTGTGTGACCTGTGCAGAGTATCTTTGTCACTTACAAAGTGGCAGGTGAATCTCCTCCAACTCCAAAGAGTTTCTTTTACACAGAGAAAACTTGCTATAAAGGACCATCTATTTCCTAGTTTTGTCTATCACTGCGAGTGCATTTAATTTCTTTCTTCATTACAGCTATGTGCAATTTTATACGTTTTATACTTTCTGGTTTTAGGCTACCAAGTTAGAGTTTGTGTGTGTGTTTTGGGCACTAGCTGTGCTGACATGATAGTTGAAAACACTATGACAGAATTGTGTTCTCATTTTATGCACTGCACCATGGGAATGGTTGGAAAGCTGCAGCCTGTGCTTTCTGCCTTCACATTTAATGGGCTGTATGGAGATGAGCTAGAGATGGAGCTGCTGTTGCATTCCTCTGCTCTTCAGCTGAGTGACGGCTGTAGCTGGTGAAGCAGAAGTGATGTGCTGACATGCAACAAAACACAGAGAAGCTGCTGTTGCTCAGTTTCTTCCCCAGTACCTCCTGCAAATGTAACCGCCTGAGATATTATCTGGCTTCTAACAGTGTCATAGCTCAAACAGGTTTTTCCCAGTATACCTCTCCAGGGAATTACTGTGAAAGCAGGAGAAGAAGAAAGCTGCATCTTGCAGGCTTGTTCACAAAGTTGTTCAACTTCAGTCCTGAAGATCTGGTCAGAAATGGTAGGGTCAACCTCATTATTGTCTGTTATAAATCCATATCACAGCTTGGCCTGATTAAGCAAGAATCTGGAGGCAACCTGGCTGTCCAAGATACTACTTTGTCAAAATAATCATCATAATCTCCAAAATAAATACCTGAAACACTAACAATTTTTGGAGGATTCTATTCTAACATATAGAGAACAACATGGCACTCTATGTAAGACACCATCACATTCCTCAAACTTGCGTATTATTGCTTGCATCACTTATTTAACAAAAGTCTAAACTGCAGAAAGACTTGTTTCCTGACATGGTATGAAAGGTTTTTTGACCATGGAGTCCGGTGTATCTGGATAGCTTCTTTAGCGATGTGATGAACCAGAGTAGCATTGCAAGAGCAGGGTCTATGTTTTATGCATTTTTTGTTCCTAGTGTGTACTGATATGATGTGCACCATAATGCTCTGTGGTATTAATAATCCATGAAGAGAATTCTCAAGCAGGGCTAAGAGAAAAGTTAACAAGCCAAATGGAGCCATTAAAGTGTATTTTATTAATGAGACACATTTTGCTTGCATCTCAGGTGTAAAAGATTCTCTCATTTGGTATATTGTTGTTTTGCTCTGACCTGACTGTGGTTAGAAAAATATATTTAATAACCATGGAGATTAATAATTTGTGATAGACATTGTGGCTTTTCTCAGGTGATGATCCTTCATTAAGAAAGGTGATGGAAGACATAGTGGTTAGAGCAACCACTTAAAATCTGGAAATTAGTTCCTTGCCTTGTCAATGATTTCTTATGTTAAGATGATAAATAGTATAAGGAAATTGTGGACTCCAATTTAGAGGCGCATCCATTGTGGTAATACTGTCTGGACTGTTGCTGAATAAGGAAATGAGGCTATTTCATTGAGTCATGAAAGTTTTACCTCTTCCGAGAAATATATTTGCAGTGTTGAAATGGGTATGGTGGAGGTCAGAAGGCTGGAGTCTGATATTACTGAAGCATTCTGTAAATCTGAAATGTTAGGAAGAAGTTGTATTTATATTCTTCTCTTTCTCTCTGTTTTCTTTTTCGAATTAAATGACTTCACAAGATAAACTTTAGGATTAGTACTTGCAACTCTATTGGGGTTTTTTAATGTAATTTTAACATTTATTTAATGTTTGGAAAACATTAAATCAGAAAATAATTCATTGCTTTTCTCTTTACTGATAGTCGCTTTTTACATAGTTAAAATACTACGTTAGAAGGTTGGATAAACAGAGACATGAAACAGGCAGTCTATTCCACTCTTGGCATGGACTACATGATAAGTTATCATGTTTGAAATCTCGTTCTGAATGCCACAGGATTGCAGTCCTGGCAGCATCTCTTTGTTGATCATGAGAATGCTCATTCGATTACACTTTCCTGTTATGCTTTGTTTTGAGCACTGAGGACTACAGAAAGGATTATAAGCATGAGACTAGCATGCATAAAATGGCTATAATCATGGTATTTAAAGATGCTCCAGAATCTTGCAAGCAATCTGTGGACTCTATTAGATTCTGAGACAATTTACGTGGACATTCATTAAAACATCTCTTGACTGTTTGAATATTTTATGGAGTAGTTGTAAATTAACATACTTAGTATGAAGATAGTTTGCCTTTAAAATTATTTTTTTCAGATAAATGATTTCTAAAAACAGAGAGTGGATTATTGTTCACTGCAATTTTGTATCAGTTGCTAAATAAAAAGAAATTCTAGCATAAATATTTGTGCTACATCTGGCATTTGCTCTCAGGCTCTTAGCTATTACTGGAATCCAATCTCACCTGCTTTACAAATTCCAACTAGTTGGGGTGCTGTGTGGTGCAGTGACTTCAAGTGCACTGATTGTATTCCCTCCTTTTAGGTTACTATCATAATAGTACAAAAGTGGCCGTGAAGACTCTGAAGCCTGGAACGATGTCTGTGCAAGCCTTTCTGGAGGAAGCCAACCTCATGAAAACACTTCAGCATGATAAGCTCGTTAGGCTTTATGCTGTAGTGACCAAAGAAGAACCTATTTATATTATAACAGAATTCATGGCTAAAGGTGAGAACATTGGATCTGCAAGCAATGTTTTAGTAAATTCTTCTGCTTCTCATAAATCAGTCCCCTTTCTTTAAAAAGGAAAGATTAAAAAAAGGAAAACTTGGGATTTTAGCATTATTCTTTTGAATGCTCTGATATTAAAGTGAAGGAACACCTATCCTAGAGGAGGGCTGAGGCTTTAATTTTATGATTATTGCTGCATTTGTGAAATAAACTATTTTCAGAGTTTTCTTAAATGTAGCATTTTTAATTGTTACAGATACAGGACATAACCCCCAAAACAGGTCTGGTTCCTTTGGGCTCCCTACCTAACTTTTGTGTCTGGTGTCATAGCAAGGCAATTAAAACAAACCTCAGAAATTGCCTTATGTGGCCCCTGAAGTGATAAATACGTGTGTAGTAAGGTGAGTGATGAGTGGTCCTGCAAGCATGGCTGCACTAGTAGAAAAGGACAACATTTATTAGAGCATTACTACACAAAATGAGTGAGATTCCTCCTCGGATTGTCTTGGGTGGTAGCTTCTCTGGGTTTATTCTGTTTTCAAGCAATTCTGCTTGACAGATTCTCCTAGACAGCTTTTCTGATAGCCTGTAGCCTAGGGTACTTATCAAACTCAACACTACTGAACTAAGGTATGGTCTGATGGGAGTTTTCTACACCTAGGAATATGACAAAACTTGGATGCCTGACATGGCGACTTTGATGTTACTGTTGTTAAATCATGTAAAGAGACAGCATTACTGTATGATCCAGAAAACTGGGGACGTAGCATGACCTTTATTTTGGTACTAAGCTACACTGACTTAATCTTTTTCTGTTGTAACAGGAAGTCTGCTGGATTTTCTGAAGAGTGATGAAGGAAGTAAATTGTTGCTTCCAAAGCTAATTGACTTCTCTGCTCAGGTAAATTTTAAGAAATTGCTCAAAACTAATGGAGTTTATGGTCTGAAACTCATGCTGGGAAACTTTATCCTAGGTTTTTTTGCATTAAAAAATAATTTAACTTTCAAATAAGTTTTGGTCTGAGTAAATAATGTTACTTGAGGGAATAGATATAAGTGGTTTCAAAGGGAATATGTGAAGTTAGGGTTAACTCAGATACTGATGATGGCTGTGGTACACAGCCACCTTCCCATGTGGAAAGGCTGCTTTCAATTCAAGTTGAAATTGCAAGAACAAGTTTGTGCTTATGAGATTCTTTGTGTGTTGTTTTTACTTCTTAAGTTAGGTCAACTGGTAAAACTTCTCTTAACTGCAGGGGGTTATTCTTGGTTTCAAATTTATATATATATTCCTGTGTAATAAATGAAATCTAATTAAATTAGATTTCAAGTATTAGTATGTGATTTATGAATTGAAATGATTGTTTTAAAATATACAAGTTATCCCATGTCATAAACAAAATCTGTCAAGAGGGACCCCAAAGTGATCTGTGTGTCAAAGCCCGGATCAGAGGTGCCTGGAGCCCAGTGTTTTGCCTCAGTTACCAGCATTAGATGTTCAAGGAAGCATATAGAAAACAGAGTAAAAATTGTGCTTTTGCAAGTCATAAATCATGTTAATAATAGGCAATGAAGGCATTTCTGATAGATTATCGTTTCACCAACCTCTCAGGTTTTCAGTGTGTATTAGAATTTGCAGGCTGTTGTACTCTATTAAACTAACTTGTTGCAATTCATAAGGAAAGACGAGAAAGCTTTAAAAAGGTGTAATAAAACGTCAGTGATTTATACCAAAAATTCACTATATCAGATGTTTTATATAACTATTGCTATATAAATAAATATAAGATTAGATATTAGGAAACAGTGCTTTACTGAGAGGGTGGTCAAACACCTGGAACAGGCTTCCTAGAGAGATGATCGATGCCCCAAGCCTGTCAATGTTTAAGAGGCATTTGGACTTAATAACATGCTTTAACTTTTGGTTAAGGTGGCCTGAAGTGGTCAAGCAGTTGGACTAGATGATATTGGAGGTCCTTTCCAACTGGAACTATTCTATGGTATATTACATATCACATATTGTTATACAGGTGTTCAATATATCAAATATAGATAAATTTTTTTTTTAATATAGCACAGATTCAGTGAAGGAGGTTTATTTTGCTATAATTTTTGGTCCAGTGAGGCTATAGGCTTTACAAGTTCTGAACTCTTTGGGTAACTTGTCCTTGACAATTTAGTGGGGCAAAAGCTCTGTAGATGTGGAAAATCTGTTGGATCCCAGGTCATGGTCTGGAGAGATGAATAACAGTGGGTAGAAAAAAAAAAAAAGTAGCTTTGAAAAGAGTGTGTAAAATTCAAGGGAGAGAAGAACGTCTGTGAGCAGTGATATGAAAGGAGACCCAGGATGTGGAGCGGAAAGCACATGTGGTTTTATAGCAGACCTTTTTATTGGAGTTAGGAGTGGTGTATCCATTTTAAATTAATGGGTTTTTTTCAGAAATTTAAGGCTTAAAAGGCTTAATGAGCTAGAGAACAACTCTATAACTGTGTACAACTTGGGTAAATCACTTCTAAGATCACAGAGGTCAGCCACTGTCATTTACAAAGCTTGAAGGTCCAGTCACTTGAAGTGGATGTCATTTGTCACCCCGATCTGACAGGAACCTCTCAGACCCAGTTCCTGCACTTGGTCTCAGAGACCAGGACCTTCTGTGGCACAGGTGATATGAGAAGTCCCTCTCTTCACATAGGTTGTAGACTATCAGCAGAAATTCCTGAGACTGAGCCATGCACTGTTTGCAGAGTCACCTTAAAGGGATGCTCAGGAAGGCCGCTCTGGGGATTTCTAGCTGCAGTCCAAACAAAACTTTGGAACAGAGATACTGGGATTTTTCTTACGGAAAGAATTTGTAGGGTTTTTTTGAGCACATTTGTAAAGAGCTCTTAATGCCACTGGGTAATATACATGACTGTGTGGAATAGACTTGCAGGCTGTGTGTGGTTCTCAGACCAGAGATTTCACTCTGACCAGCGCAGTTGTTCCACTGGTCTTCTCTAACTCTGACAGTCTGAATGTTAGTTGATGGGTCTTTAGGGCAAAAGTGTCAAACTCTGTTGGCCTACTGCAAAGGCAATGGTAATTTTACTGCAAACATGTGGATCGAACTTTTCCAGAATGTAGGCTGTATATAAAGGAGAACATAAGACATATCTAGTATTTTCGATATGACTGTGGTTTGTACAAATGGAACACTTAATTTATTTTTACAGCAGTGGTGTTAACCGCTCTGTACAGCCTAAGGGGAAAGAAATTTGGAGAGCTATGTTAAAAAAAAAAAAAAAAAAGCATGGAAAGAAGCTTATGGTGAACTACTTAAATAAGGCATATTTTCTGCCTTGGTGGACACGCATTCGAGCTCTTCATGACTGTGTAATCATACCATTCTGGCAAGGTGTTTTACGAGACTATCGCAGTTTCTCAAGAAGATTGAAAATGCAGGAAATGGTAGCCAAGGATTGGCTTACTTTTCCCCTCATACATCAGCGATGTTGCACAAGGCTGACCTGTTCCCAACCGTGCTATGCACTTGCTTGCTCACATCCACGTGTCTGCACAAAAGGCATCTGTTGCAACAAAAATTGCTGAAAGAACCTGACCCATTGCAGAAGGGTACATTACCAATGGACTTGTGATACAGCAGGAGGACAATGGGCAAGAAGTGGTTCACCTTGGTATGTCGCCTTTATGCAGAGGAATGGCCTTTGCCACCTTCCAATGGCCTTGTCAGATAAGGATGGACTGGGAATGGGAGAAAGGGAGGGGAGGATGCAGTCTCTGTGACTATCTGATAGCTGATAAATGTAGTGCAGGTACTTCCCAGATGAAGGTGATTTTCCATGTGGCATTGAAGAGCACCGTGGGTTGGTGTTTCCATTGCCAGACTTCAGTGAGTGTTCCACTCACTGACTTTGTAATGCCTTTGCCTTGAATAGTTTTGAAAGAAATCTTCATTTACATGGGGTGAAACGTTCTGATTTTGCAAAAAGTAAGGACTGATTCCCTAGGTGAAATAAACACCTTTTAAAAAGATAGCATTTTGTAAGCATGTAATCAAATAAACTCCTCCTCTGCTAATTTTGCTGTTTTGTAGGTTTAACATCCACCCTCACTGATTGCTGGTTTTGACAGCGATGGCTGAGTCCTGGCAACAGACTTTTTAATAGGGCCTGTAGCAGTAGGACAAGGGGTAATGTTTTTAAACTAAAAGAGGGTAGATTCAGATAGATTCTAGATATAAGGAAGAAATATTTTGCCAAGAGGGTGATGAAACACTGGAATGGGTTGCCCAGGGAAGCTGTGGGTGCCCGACCCCTGGAAATATTTGAGGTCAGGTTGTACAGAGCTCTGAGAAATCTGATCTAGTGGAAGGTGTCCTTGGTCATAGCAGAGGGGGTTGAACTAGGTGACCTATAAAGGTCCCTTCCAACCCAAACCATTCTATGATTCTGTGATTCTATTTAGTTACATTTACATCTAGTGACTACTTTAGTATACAGCTGTGGATTTAGGATTTTCATGGTTTTTTTGCTGTACTAACAATCACAATTTATAAAATTAGGCTTGTGGAAAACATGGCAAGAAAATGCTTGCTAGGAAGGTGATCCAACTCACTTTCTAAAGCAGTCTGCCCTCTGAAAGAGCTGAAGTTTCTCTTTTGTGTTTTAATTAGTGCATATGAGTAGGGGCTGGGGAAATCTAGTGGTAGCTATGCTCTGGCAAAGATGATTTTGGCCACTAGAGATGAATGCTAGAAGTCTGTGAAAGGAGTCTGTTTTAAAGCAAGCCGATTTTTGCAAATGTCTCTTCAAGCACATACTACCTGTTTTAGTACAGAGCAGAGGTGTGGCATCCCATAGAAGTCAGCAGACTTGTCAGTATGTCAGACGTGCCAGAAACAGCTCACAGAGGGCAAAATCATGCTTCCCTGCCTGTGTGACCGCTGCTGATGTGTGGGTGCATGGCAACTCATTGGCTGGTCTCGCAGCTGCTGTGCGTCCGGCAGGCATTAGCTGACACAGTTGACAAGCAGTTCCCTTTCCTGGGGTTTCTGCCTGTCAGCTTCAGGAACCCAAAGGTGTTGATAGGTGTTGGCTCCCAGTTATGAGTTGGAGTGTAAATTAATTTCATTGCTTTATCCATAAGCTACACTGCCAAATCCTACTAATGCCAAAAGAGTCCATGTGCAGACTGCCTGTCTTCCCCTTGGTTATCTACAAGCAACAGGCTGGCCCCCTAAGCACTAAAAGTGATTGGCTAACTGGATTTTACCAGTTGGTTTTTGTCTTGCCCCAGAGGTAGTTTACCCAAAGAGTTCCCGATTCTTTATTTCACAATTCGTGAAATCGTACTTGCTTCTGTTTTATGAGATCTGCTGAAAACTTACAACGCAAATTCAGTGAACATTTTGCATGTGTAAACTCTTCCTGCTTCTTATGCAAATCTGTTATCTACTGTGTAGCACACACATGCGCGCGGTAGCTGTGGTTAGGAAAATGGTATCAGTTGTAAATGATAAACTAAAACTCCATCATACCTTTCAAACCTAGTCAAAGCTTTGTCATAAAACCAGTCTTTCTTCTTTCCCGTGCAGTGCTGATACTTTCATTAATTCTTCTGTGATCTACTCTTCTTTCTGCCTTCTAAGGCTACAGTGCCATTAAAATAATTATAAACTTAGAATAAAATTGAGATTTTTTGATGCACTGTTTTAATCCCTCTCCCCTCTCTTTTAAGAAGCAGGCAGAAGGAAAACTGTTTTGAGAGGGGAAAGTCCTGAATCAGAATTAATTTTAACTCTTATTTGGCATTGGGAGATTTCCTCTGCAGTTTTGCCATATTCCTATTCAGGTTTTCTTCACTTTTAACAATACCCTCTAATGTTCCAGAGCATAATTATA